TATTAATATATTAACTAAATGATGCTGTTAATTTTTTTGCGGTCATTTATAATTATTCCATATTTCTTTTTAGTGGCCGGACAAAATAATATAATACAGAATCATCGCTCTCACATACATACCGCAACAATATATAATATATATTTAGCATACGTATTGACCAAAATTTAATTCACATTCTTTTGTTCGTTCACAATACATGAATAATCGTATGAATATTCTCATTGTTAATAATAATAACAATAATAATAACAACAACAACAACAACAATAATAATAATAATAATAATAATAATAATAATAATAATAATGAGAGAAAGCTACAGGAGTAAGCTGATTAAAAAAAAAATGAAAAAAATAAAAATAAAAGCACAAAAATCGAATAAAATAATTAATCAATTTTCGTAAAATAAAAGAAAACTTTAAGTTAATGCACTTGATTTTTTTAATTTTTCACGAGGCTCGACGACGAAAGGTAATTTTTATTATCCAAGTAGAGTAAGCTGGACGGGGGCCATGCAGGGCTTGAATCGTACGGGGGTATGTTGTCGAATAGGGTGAGCTGTGTAAAGGGGGATAAAGGAGGAAGCCACGAAGCGTTCGCAGTTCGACCTCGAATTGAGCTGGGAATTACGAGGCCCCCAATTAAATTTCTCCGTCGAACTGCCAGTGTGATTCGAAATCGATAGCCGTACCTCGAGTGACATCGAGTAATAACATCGATGAGTTGATTGGTCGAGCACCGAATAAAAGGGGAATTTCATTGACTTACCGAGAAAGCTGTAATGCAAAAGTACTTAATGTTATAAGGCCGATAGAAATTACATGTATATGTATATATTTGTATATCTATATGTATAACGCACATATATATGCGTGTATATATATATATATATATTTTATATTTTATATTTTATATTTTATATCTTTTTCTTTAGAAATAATACCAATTGAGAATCGTCATTTTACTATTTTCGCTGGTATTAAAAATGTTTCTTAACGAGCATGAAAGAACAAAGAGAAAAGAAAAACAGAAAAAATGTAAACAAAAATTATTCGACATAACTAGGTATTTAACACAAGTGAAAAAAACTTGTCCGTTTCTTCTACGTTGAATAAAGGAACGTGTTAAAAATATAATCAAAAATAAAAAAAAAGATATATAAAAATCATAAGAAAAACAAGCCTGATTACGAATAGTAGGCTAGACTAGACTAGAGTAGAATGAAGTAGAATAAAGTAGAGAAGGAGAGAAGGAGACAAAGTAACAAACAGAGAGAAAGAGAGAGAGAGAGAGAGAAAGATGTCTACGATTTCTATTCGCTTGGCTTGAAATTTTGCAGAAACTATTTAAATCCTAGTACTACGTGGATATGGCAATTGTGCGTACTCGCGTTACTAGAAGGAAACTATGCGAAAAGTATGTCGAACGGGTTGCCTCAGAGAGGACGATGCAATAGGGATTTAAGGGTGGAGAAGGGAGGCTCAAAAGTATGCCTTATCGTTTTCTCTCTCTCTCTCTCTCCTCTCTCTCTTTTCTCTCAGATTTTATCGTTGAAAAGCGCGGCACGAGGAGCTCGGGAGATCCGTAAACCGAATAAAGTTACCACGGTGGTTGCAAACGAATTGAGATGACAAAAGAGAATAATAAAAGAGAGAGAGAGGGAATGATGAAAATAGGTCAATGAATTTTCTACAAAAGTCTTACACATTCAAATTTATTTGTAACGTGGCAACAGTTTAAATGATTAATTTCGTGATGAAAAATCGATGAATAAAACAAAAACAATTGTTAAAGCATCCATCCCACTTATATCTATATATCAATTTCTTTTTTACTCATCATCGAATATGTCCATTTTCATTTGCAAAAGAGAAAAAAAAAAGAATTATCGATATAATATCCATGAGATAACGAAGGCCATAGCAATAACTTTTATTTAATTTTGCTGCACTGTCAGCAAAATTACGAGTTTGCTGAGAGACACGCACTATTCTCTCTCTCTCTCTCTCTCTTTCTGTCTATGTGTGTGTAGCTATCTATCTATCCAACCGTATCCATCTATCTTTCTCTCTCGCTTTGACCGGTCTACGATCAATGCTCGCCGCGAATTATTCAATGTTATCGTTATCATAAATTCGACCGAGCTCCAGCAGTACCGCCGTTCGACCAGTACCAAAATGATCCTGATAAATTATCGAATCGACCAGGCTTAGCCAGAATCAGAGAAAGAGAAAGAGGGGAAGAGAAAGAGAGAGAGAGAATATGAATAGAATGTAGAGATCAAAAATAAGCTAGTAATTCAATATATATACGTATAATTTCTAAAGAGATTTAATTCTTCTATATTATTTACGAAATAATTGGCTGGAATTTTTTGATACTGATATCGTTTCGATTCGAATAGATAGAGAACAAAGTAGTTTAAAAGCAAGCATAGAACGAAAATTAAAACGACAATCGCTTTATTGGCTGCCAATCGAGTGTGGGTTTCAAGCAACGTATCTAACGCAGTCAATGTGCAACGTAAAAATAAAAATTGTAGTTAACTGCAGCATTTATCGGTGGTAAACGTCGAGAACCGCCAACCACACATATATAAACGTATTAAAATGGCAAGAAAATCAAATTTGAAACTGTATATTGTGTGTATACGCACGGCGCGGCTTAATCGAGCAGGAAAAACATATATCGATCGATTGTCGAATTACGAATTTCCCTTGGTAAAACTACGTGAAATCGTTCGAGATAAATTCAAAAGAAAAATATTCCCTTATTTTACAGGTACTACGTATGTACGTTTATGTATGTATGTCTATACAACTATGATATTTTTGCTATACTCGCGAACTAGCTTCCAACAAATTTTCGATTCATTTCATTTCATTCGATTTTATTCGTCTTTTAATGCATGATTTGTGGATCTTTTTTTATCTTCCTTAATTAGAAATGTTCAGAAACAAAATTATACCTCCAAACTTTACAATAAAATCATAAAATAATTAATTTAATGAATTTATTAATTTTTCATGAGAAGTAAAAAAAAAAAGAAATAAAAGAAAAATTATACGAATCATACGCTTTGATCGTTTCACACCTGTCAATCGTGAGATTGTCTATTGTACTTCATTGTGAACAAAATCACGACTGTCAATTTCCGTCAACAAATCGGGCACCCATTGTATCGTTTGATTGACTATTAAATTATTTTCATCGACTTAACACAAACGTACTGTATTATTCCATTGAAATATAATGATTTATTTATATGTTTATCATATTCTCTCTCTCTCTCTCTTTCTCTCTCTTATATTTTCCATTCTATAACATTAAGATAGAAATTGATAATCAATTGATAACAAATATAAATATTTTCTTTTCGATGATATCGCGTTAGAAAATAGTAAAATAGGATTTTGTAAGAATCCTTTGAAATTCTTTTCTTTGGGATTCTTTTCGTGAGGGTTAACCTTGCGTAAAGGAGAGGAGAGAGAGAAAAAAATTAGGTCAAAAGATAATCCTATCTGTGTTTGATATAGTCCATTATCGATCGATATAAAGTAGTAGATATGTCCGCGTTGAATAAGAGGTCCAATGATTCGATCGAACTAAAAAAAAAAAAAAAAAAAAAAAAAAAAAGGAAGAAATAAAGAAGAAAAGAATGAAGAAGCGCTTCTTTCGTTGTCGTTACGGTCATCAAGCGTAGATGGCTCGTCGACCTGACACACATTTCATACAATAGAAGAGGAGAGAGGAGGAAAAAAGAAAAAAAAACGCGCGAGAAGAATGATATACATCTGTGAAAATGTTCGTCGAAAGGAGCGTGGTTGAGATCGATCGAGAACTCGGATTGTAAGAAGAAAGTAGCAAGGTTTAAACTAGAAGGATTGGAAGAGAGAGGGAAAGAGAGAGAGAGAGAGAGAGAGAGAGGAAGAGAGGATGCTGGGATACTGGGAAGCTCTTTTTCTATCGCGTCGATTTTTTTCCCTATGGAATATAACAACGTTTATTCTCTCTCTCTCTCTCTCTCTCTATGTTGCTCGAACGAACCTTTATATCTCTCGCCAGCTTTACTATGTGTTTCACATACTCGAATGAGTTTTACTATGTGTTATACATACTCAAAAAGATAGAGAGAGAGAGAGAGAGAAAAAGAGAGAGAGTCGTTCGAATTCGGTAGACAGAAAACAGTGATAAATGGTCAGGATTAGCCGAACATGTGTAGGTCGATAAGAAAATTAGGTTTTTTGTTTCTATTTTTTCTTGGTTTTCTTTCTTTTTTTTTCTTGATATAACTTGAGATTTTTCTTATAAGGGGAAAGAAGGAGGCAGGGGGAAATCTTGCAGCTCTCTCTGTGTATCTCTTGTAACTATAGTAGGACGAAAAATAGACAGAAAGAGAAAGATGGTTGGAGTTCGCTAGCATCTAGATTGGACTGCATCTTTTACAATCGACTCGTGAATATCTTAACTTTCCGCGACGTGAGATTCCCAACAGGAGTGTAGGAAGAAACGTGCGATGGTGAAATGGAAAGAATTGCCATTGGATTGTGTGCAATGGCTAAAATGTACGAAAGAGAAAAATTCTCTCTCTCTTTCTCTCTTTTTGTAAATGGTGAGAAAATGGAGAAACGAACGCGAATTCACCGTAGACTTATTTTCTCTAACATCGATTCGATTCTCTTTTGACTTTTACAAATTACCAAATCGAAAGAACTAAGCGTAGACAATGAATATGTGCCAAATGATGGAGCTTCTAATCTTGCCTAGATTTTTCTTTTCTTTCTTTTATTTTATTTTATTTATTTATTTATTTATTTATTTATTTATTTATATTTTTATTTTTTTTTTTTTTTTTTTTTTTGTAGATTTTTATCAAAGTTATATTACTCCAATCCGATTATCGTGAAATTACAGATTCATGCATTTGTTTCTCTTTCATTTAATTTTTATAAGTGTATAATAAACGGATTATAGGTTTTAAAAATAAGATTGACAGGTTACATTAGATTTCCTTTTAATGAAAAGTAATAGGTTATATAAATATGCATTGACAATAAGAAAATTTATTAAGACAATTTATTAAGACAATTTATTTGATAGTGATGATTACTCGTCGATCATTGTATCGACTTTGTTAACGATCAGTCCATATCCCATTAAAGAGAAATATAATTTGATGATCCACAAGCAAATAGCAGCAATGAAAGTATCGACTTTTTCTGCGACATAAAAATAATAATATCTGAATCTGTCGTAATAATATTTGATTGTCTTTGTCCATGATACTTTTCCGATCACTCGTGCATTACTCGTTCGTTCTTTATTATAGTATTTCCTTCCTTTTCGTTCTATCGATGATATACGTCTTTGAGAAAATAGGTATTTAACTTCGAATAAAAATAGTAACAATGATCATACGTATAACTTACTATTTCGTCTTGAAATCTCTTGGCAATTCTGGGAATTTGTCATCCTATATTATTAATAATAGTTTTCTTTAAAGACGAATAATAGGTCTCAATCGTATTAGAAATTGCTTAGAAAAATTATCAAGTATTTCTATGAAAAATTCGTTGAAAAAAAAATTAAATTGAATATCATTCTTTCACTCGAATCACTTTAGAGATAAAATGATTAGATCATAGATATAGATACCATGATATAAAACCGATCATGATGCAACTAAGATCTCGTAACGATTTTCACTTGTCGAAGATTTACGTTAAGTTGGAAAGGAAAGGAAAGGAAAGGAAAGGAAAGGCAGGCAGGCAGGCAAACCCCTTTCCGAAATCCCAGATTATCTCTTCTTGAGTGCCACCTTCGGAAACACGAATCCAAAGAGGTAAGAGGTCGTTGTAAGGAGTCACGAGAAAGGAGCGTCGAACACGTTGGAAAGTTTTCGTTTTAAAGGTCTTACTAAGTTCTCTCTCTCTCTCATTTTCTGTCACTCTCTACGAGACGTTTTACACATGCCCCGATGTTCCCCGTTAGTAGAATTGCGCGACGCTCGAATGAAACGCGATTGGTCGAAATTCTGAACGTGAAAGAGTCGATCGTTAAAATCGAGTTATGTTATGCTTCGGAAGATATCGAAAGCGATAATCGTCGAACATTGATTACATAAACCGAACACTTTTGTCTTTTTCCTTTGTCTCTTTCCTTTTTCTTTGGATTTTTTTTTTTATATGATCCAAACAAACGAATTAATCAACAATTAAATTTTATTATGAAGTATTAAGAAGAAGAAGAAAATGATGATGACGACGATGATGGTGAAATTTATTTAATTAAATCCATTTAGGAGATATCATGAAAAGATAATTAATTAAAAGACATAGGATCGTTCGTTGAATTTCCTTTATTATTTTATTTTGGTGAAGGAATAATATACTAGGCTCGAAATAACTTAACAAAAACGAGAGAACCGATGCGATATTCTTTTGGTAAACGAACGAAGAGAGAGAAAAAAGAAATAAAATAAGGAAGACGTAATCGGCATTGAATGAGAGAAGAAAAGCAGAAATTTTTGTAGAAATTGTCGCGATGAAAAACAATGACGTACACATCGTGAATCTCTCAATGAGAAGGTTCTCTCGCTCGATTTTAATTACAAACAAATCGAAAGTTCCAGTTAGATCGATCGTAAACGAGTATATATACTGAATTCGAATTCGCATAAATGTATTAATCAAAATTCTATCAAGATCGGCAAATAATTTCGATATCACGAGTCGATCGACGTATGTAACTATTTTAAAAAGTGCTTCGTCGACTTCGTTTTTATATTTTTCGTGAAAGTAATGTTACACACATGGAATTGCTTTCAAGTTAGAACACTTTTATAAAAAGTTTCTCTCTCTCTCTCTTTTTTTTTTCTTTTTTTCAAAAATACGCCAAGAAAAACGTGGCTTCGCAAAAGAGTAATCAGGAAAGTCCAAAAAGGAGTTTGAGAGAAAAATAGAAGAGCTTAGAATACGAACGGTTATAATAGGTTAATAAAGTTTTCACGTTTAGAAAACACGTAACAGTTAACGATTAAAACGTTACCACGAACGCGTTTAAAAGGTTAAAGTTTCGAAGAGAGAAATAACGACGTTGATAAAGGGGAAAAAAAGAAAAGGAGAGAAAAGTTAAGTTAAATCGTTATCTCTGTAATTTATTTTTACGTATACATGAAAAAGATTATTTTTTAATGGCTTAGTCTTTCTTAGCCCGAAGGTCGAACGTCGCATCGAACTCCTTTCTAGAGGGAAAGATAAAAAGAATAACAAAAAAAAAAATTAAATAAAATAAAATAAATCAAAAAAGAAAGAAAACGGAAGGAAAGAAATGTGAGCTTTCACGAAAAACGCCCGAGATTTCGTCGATCGTGCGTGACTCGAGTACGACGAGAAGGATTCTCACTTTGGTTGGCTTTTTCTCTCTCTCTTTCTCTCTCTCTCACTCTCTTTCTCTCACATACACATACAGATACGCATACAGAGATGTTCTTCTTTCTGTCTTTCTATTTCTCTCTCTTTCCTTCATTCTCTCTCTCTCTCTCTCTCTCTCTCTCTCTCTCTCTCTCTCTCTCTCTCTCTCTTTTTCTCTTTCTTTCTCTCTAGGTGAATCTCTAGGAGTTTCTTGTCGCTTTTCTACTTCGTCATTCTGTCTCATGTCAAGCGACGATCCTGATAACTCTTTCTCTTTCTCTATCTTTTTCTTTTGCTTTTTTTTTCTCTTTTATTTTTTTTTTCTTTTTTATTCTTTTATACTTTTTTTCCTCGTCCAACTCATTCAAGTAATGAAAACGATACTATTTCTGTAAGTTTTATAGATTTGTTTTTTTTTTCTTTGCTTTCTCTCTCTCTCTCTCTCTCTCTTTCTTTCTCTTTTTCTTGTCGTTCCTTTTTTTGGCACTATAAAATGAATTCCACGAGCGAGTAATGTTTACTTTCTCTATCAAGCTCCATTTTAAAGAAAAAAAAAAACAACAATGTTAACGAAATCATGGTAGTAGCAGTAGAAGAGTATCGTGTAAAGGGCTCATTCTATATACGATCGGAAAATATTTGCTTGTAAAATATTTGTTTGGCAATGATTTGTGAGGCACGGTTGAAACAAAACGGAAAAAAAAAAAGAAGAAAGAAAAAAGGAGAGAAAAGAAAAACTACGCCTTTGTTATTCATCGTAAGTACGTCGAGTTTTTAATTGGCCTATGGGAGAGATCTTTTAATTAATCTACGATGATTTACTTATGAAATATATATTCATGTATATATATATATATATATATATATATGTTACCAAAAGTCTGAACAATTGTGTTCGAAGTAACTGTAATCTTTTGCAATAGTAAATTTATAAAATCATAAAATTTCATCGTTTGGTTCGATTTTCGAAGCAATTCGAAGTATCCATTTAGAAAATGAAAATGTTAGTTGGTATATCGAGTAATCGAACGAAGTCCTAGCAAGAAAATCATTTAGAAAGGAAGTAATAAGAGAGAGAGAGAGAGAGAGATAGATAGATAGAAGGAGAGAGAGTAACAAAACTCTCTCAACCAAGCTAAGATTATAAATGATCCGGTAATACGGTGGTACGATTCGATTTTCACAAGTGAAAGAGAAAGAGAAAGGAAGAAACGAGAGGGAGAGAGAGAGAGAGAGAGAGAGAGAGAAGCCTATATATCAAAAGCAAACGTTCGCGTCTTCGCGCGGCTGCAAGAGAATCGATTGTAACTTTCGAAGGGCCGATAATCTTTCCCTTAATTGAATAGCGAAAGGAGAAACAATAATTCAAATGTCTCTACCGAGAATCGTTCGTCCTTTCTACTCTTGGTGAGCTTCGATTACTTTCCTCTTCCTCTTCCCTTATCATCCTACCTACCCTTACATCTCTCTACCTTTACCCTTATCCTTCTTACCCTAACCCCTTCCGAAAATTTCTCCGCAAAGAGACGAAGAGAAGGAAAACGACGTCGTGCTACGAATTTGCTCCTACTGGTTCTGTCATTAATGGAAATCGTGATTCCCATTAACGTCGTCGTCGCCTTCGTCTTTATATATGATAACTTGTGGTCGATGATGAATGAAAAAAAGATATAAAAAGAAAAAAAAAATACTGAAAAATAACGTAGAACAATATCGATACCAAATTACCATACATATAAATTCCTCTTGATCTAATATTTTTATAATATAATATTCAGAGGAACGTTTACAAATATTTCTATCCTGCTCTTTTAATATAATATGCTCTTTTAATAAATTAATATAAAACTTGATATATGTATATCATGAGACAAAATATTGAAGGCAAACTCATTTTTTCTTTTTCGAAGTTAAAAAAATAGAGAAGGAAAATGAGAGAGAGAGAGAGGGGGAATATCGATCGGAGAACTCGACAAAAAACGAGAAACAAAATGTTGCGGAACTCGCGGAGAAATTGCGAACGAATGAGAGCGGTAAATCCGAAGGACCGCGATGCCGGACTTGCGTCACGACGATTTGCAGTCGGCGCTGCCACTAATTGCGTGTCAGCCCCGATGTTTTGCGTTTTATCTGACCTCCGCTTACGTGCACTTCTCTTTCTCTCTTTCTCTCTCTCTCTTTCTCTCTCTCTCTTTCTCTCTCTCTCTCTCTCTTTCTCTCTCTCTCTCTCTCTCTCTCTCTCTCTTTTGTTATCTCGCGGCTGTTAACCACAGCGTGAAAATTCTACATATCTACGATCTACATATGCGTACGTTGTATATACACTAGCGACCAATCAGCCAACGAAGCCTCGTAGCGTTTCTCTCGTTGAAAAATCTGAGGAAAGTACGAGAAATCATCGCAACTATTGTACGATCAACTTTTTTTTTTTCAACCCTCGAGACACAGAGAAAATAAAAAGAAAAAAGAACATTAAAAAGAAACAACCTCTCATATGTGAATTCAGCATGAATATTAGAAAACAAATTGCTAAGAGTTGTAAAGTTAAATATAATATATTTAGCAGATTATACCATCCCCAGTATAAATCGATTAACGAAAGAAAAAAATCAAGGACTATATTTGACATGATGACAAGATAGTTAAAATAAGTGTGAAGGAGAGGGGTTGCAGAAAAAGTAAAGGAGTTGACAATGAAATAGAAGAATGAAGGGAAGAATGAGAGGGGAGTTAACAGGAGGCAGTTGAATTTTCTTAAGAAAGGCGTACACCGACAAATAATTCCTTAGAGGAGGCATTATCGCGATGAACAGGGATCCACCTTTCTCTGGTGAAAGACCAAACAACTCCTTTCCTTTTCGAACCTAAGAATCAAGAACAACCAACAACTAGAGGTAAGACAACTGGAGTCAACAAACCGGGTAAGACAGAGGAAAGCAACGAGCTATTCCTATCTTTTATTCCTTCTCTCTTTTTTTTTTGAGAAAGAAAGAGAGAGAGAGAGGTACAGGAGATCTTATCGGTCATTGATTTATATCAGCCAGTTGTTCCTACGGGAACCTACCACCCACACCTGTCGCACTTTTCACCCTATTTTCTTATCCCTTCGTGCCGACTCCACCCCTCTAGAGAATTCCCCTACTCTGATTTTCTGTTTTATCGAGTTTTCTCTATCTCTTTCTGTTTGTCTATCTAATTTGTCTTTGTCTGTTCCCTTGTCTATCTGTCTGTCTGTCTGTTGTGTCTGTCTGTCTGTCTGTCTGTCTGTCTGTCTGTTTGTCTGTTGAATCTGTCTGTCTGTCTGGCTGACTGTTTTTTTGTATGTTTATTTGTTTGTTTGTTTGTCTGTCTGTCTGTCTGTCTGTCAGTTCATCTACCTGCCTTTCTCTTTTTCTTGTTCTCTTTCTCTCTCTCTCTTCCTGTTTCAACTACTCTTTTCACCAACTATCTCTCGCTATCTCAAAAGCCCAAGTCTCGAGATTCTGTGAGGGATTCTGGGTTCCTATTGTTTCCCAACAAGAGGAGTAGTACTTACCTATACACCTAGATGTGACGTTACGCGAATAGACGTGGACGACCGACTAATTCGTCAGTCAATGGAGAGAGAGAGAGAGAGAGAGAGAGTCATCGGTAGAGCGAGTAATCAGGTCGGCTGTCATTAGAGATGGCGAACACAGTATGATCATCCTATAATCCTTACTCTCAGACAATATCGTTCTATGTTTCTTGATCGAACTATCAAAAACGATTAAAAATTTTATATAATTTTTCTATAACAACGTATAATATTAGATCGATATATTTAAGTCTACTCGCATAAACATATTTTTGTCGCATAATTGAGTGTTGGTCTTTGCTTTAATGTATTAATGAAAAATACATCGAGAAATAAGGGGCATGATAAGATATATGTGTATATATATATATATACGTATAATGTATACATGATGTAATTTAATCGGTATGGAATTTAATTAATCACTTAATTCGTTGAGATGGTAAGGGTAGCAAACGTGGTAGAAAATTTCATCTCCTTCTTAAGAGAAAGAGATAGAGAGAGAGAGAGAGAGAGAGAGAGAGACCATTAATCCCTTATACTTATCTATAATCAGACGTACATATATATCTCTAGGTCGTTGCGTTGCAGTTTAGTAGCTCATCCCGATATAATTAATGTTTGATATTAATTAAGAAAATGTTTTATGTGTTCCTTACTTCGTTGCATAAATTTTCAATTAGATTTTCTTTAGAAAGTCGTTCTATGGCGATTAGTAGTAGCAGCAGTAGCAGCTTGGTAAACGTGGAAATGTAACGAGACGACGAAGCTCGAAGATAAAGTTATTTTTCTCTGTCGTTCTCTTTGCACACCACAAACTCGGTGGTTTCTATCCTCTCCACCTCCATTTCCTCCTCCTCCTCCTCCTCCTCCTCCTCCTCCTCCTCCTCCCCATCACCTTCTTCTCGATCTTTCTTCTGTGATAATCCTCTTACCTTCCAATCTTTTATTTTCGTTTTTCCACTAGATACCGTTCTTTACCTTGTTCAGGCTACAACCAAGAACGGTTTTCTGGATAGAAACGTTAAGAAGATCGATAAAAGTCGATCGACTTGCAACGCGATTAATTTCTTTGTTTTATTTTGTTCTACATCTTTATTTTACTTGTTTATTTATTTATTTATTTATTTATTCCCTTCGTCCAATCGATTCTTCCTTCGAATGAGTAATCTATGTAACACATTCCTTCGTTTGAATGAAAAGTAAAAGAAAAATAAAATAAAGATAAGAAAGGTAATAAGTATCGAGAAACAAATTAGCTGAAAGGAAGCTACAGTAATCGCTATAGTTATTTCGTTAATTAATTTTTCTGACAGAGTGAAGAAATCCAGAACGATAGGAAATATAATTGATCGGGAATGCTTTTTCTCATTCTCTCTCTCTCTCCCTACTTCTTTCGCTAAGGATAAATTCTTATATGTTTTCCTCTCTTTTATAACGTTTCCTTTTTCTTTCTTACTCTATATCTTTCAAAGATTAAAAATATCGAAGTTAAGTGTCTAATGTACTAATTAATATAAATGAATTTTACTGTATTCTTTATTTATGTTTAGAAATCTAAAAAAAAAGAAAAAGAAGAAGAAGAAGAAGAAGAAAGAGAACAAAAATGTAACAGCAAAAATGTCAAAATAGAAAAAGATAAAAGCACGTAGACGTGGAGAAGAAGTTTAGTGAAAAGTTTCTTGAGCTTGTTATGATAAATGCAGTGACACGTATTTTCACTGTGCTATACCAAGTTACAATTAGATGCTTCATTGAATATGTAAATTCGTGAGACTACAAGTTAAGCGAGTAAGCAACACAAGTCTGTTGAGAAACATGGTTAAGAAATAAAGTCGAGAGAGAGAGAGAGAGAGAGAGAGAGAAAAAAAGAAGAAGAAAGAAAAAGAAGGAAAGAAAAACAAGAAAGAACCAACTAAAATATTGATCTATTGCGATCCATCTACTTGCGTTCCTTTGACTTCAAAGTTAAAGTTTATTAACTTTTCGATTAGATCGATATAACTAATATAAATGCAAATAATATTAGAGAATAAACGAACTATTTTTTTTTTTTTTTTTGTTAATAAAAAATATAATTGAATCGAGAGAATATAAAAGAAGGGAAAAATGAAACAAAATGAGGGCTGTTGATTTATGAAAATGCTCTCTAATGATGATAATAATAATAATAATAAGTCATATATTTCCGTTTCGAGATATTTTTTGTACATTTCGAGTATGTGCATTGAATTATTTAACAATTGTAATGGCTTAGATCTACTTTCGTAATCGCCATCTCTCAACAAGAGAAAACGATCTTTTTTTATAAAAAAAAAAAAAAAAAAATTGTTATATATGAAACTCTGTAAAAGTTCTTCGAGAGTATCGATTACCGGTCGCATATCTCTACTAGCATTTTCGTGTAATACTGAAAAATTAGTTAGAGTTTGGCCCGAAAGCTCGAAAGCGGAAAGCGCGTGAAAGTATCGTGAAAGAATTTGACAAAGTACGAAATCGATGCGCTCAAGCGCTCAAGCGCATCCAACCGACGAAAGCTTCAAGTTTGTGAAACTTTCTTCTCTCTTTCTCCCTCTCTCCTCTTTTTCTTTTTCTTTTTCTTCTTCTTCTTAAAATCTTTTTTTTCCTTCATCTTACACAAGATTTCAAAGAATTTTATTCGAGAACCCTTTATTATCGATCGATCGCCCGCCCGCGCGCGTGTAACTACAAGAGAGAAAACGCTAAGAGTGAAAATAAAAAGAAATTCAAGCCTCTCAAACGCGTTCCAAAGCGATGCAACTTTTTCAATCACGTTTGTTACATTTGTTTGAAAAAAAAAAAAAAAAAAAGAAAAAAGATCAATCACGTAGCTAAAAGTATTTTGTAGCTTTCGTAGGTCGCGTACGTACCGTGTGTAAGCATCGAAATTAGTTCGTTTGTTTATTCCACGCATTATCGATCGATCGATCGATCGATCTATCTATCTATCTATCTACCTATCTATCGAAGCCGACTCACTTTATTCCATTTCTTTTTTCCTTTTTCCTTGTTCTTTATTCCATTCAAAATGAGTTTGCCTGAAATTTTTAGAAAAATACGATCACTTTTGCGTATTTAATACGATTACTTTTTTTTTAAGATAACTTAAAGAGATTATCGTCTTTTACATATTTATCTGAGAAATTTTATTTATAATATCAACTCAATGAATCACTGATAAAGGAGGTAAACTTTAAAGACAAATAATTGCATAATATTTATAATAGTAATTACTTTTTATTTTGTTGTAGACACAAAATTTTTTAATATATGATTATTATTGTACTTACTTTTTTTATTGTTTATATTTAATACTTTATTAAACAGTTGTATTTAATAAACACGCTGTAAAAAATATGGATATATAAATACACAGGAATAATTAATAGCAATGCTAAATAATCGTATAATAATAATTAATATTTTAACAAATTTGAATATTGTACTGTCACTACATGAGTCATTATAACCGGAAGTACATATATCGCAATATGGACAACGTAGTACAATTACGCATGTTTCAAACTCGCGATTTAATGTTGTGTGAAATTATAAAATTTATAAAGTTAATTAAGATTGTAAGGATATTATATTAAATAATATAACAACGAGAAACTATAATATAAGGTAATAAGTATTCTTAATGTACAATATATTTTTAATACTGTATTTCGAATTGTTTTTTGTAGTAGTAGATCAGTGACGTCGAAGAGGTTATGTTTACATACTCTCTTGTGATTTAACAATATATTTCAATTTGTGGATATGGAAGTTCTCGAGTTAAAGGATGTGAAAGCAGTTCCAGATATAATTCATAATTATCCCCATAAAATAAAGGATGAGGCAATACCATTGGTTGTAGATAATGGTAAAAAATAATATTGCATTTAGACAATTGGATATATTTGACAGGATTCAATATTTTTTTCTGCACAAAATATCTATTGTAGGTTCATACAATTGTAGAGTCGGTTGGGCTACAGAAAAGGAACCGCAATTAATATTTAAGAATCTCATAGCAAAGCCCCGAAAGGAACGTGGTAAGAAGGACGGAGAACCTCAAGTAGGAAATGACATAGCAAATATAGAAGCAGTCAGATTTCAATTGAAAACTCAGTTCGATAGAAATGTTGTGACGCATTTTGAAGCTCAAGAACAAATATTCGATTATACCTTTACGCATATGGGAATAGATACAGAAGGATCCGTGAATCATCCAATTATTTTAACAGAAGCTTTCTTAAATCCAAATTATTCTCGAAATTGTAAGTTTTTATTTGAATATGTGACATTAATAAAGAGAAATTTATTGAATTGTATGTATATTTCAGTAATGGCAGAACTTTTATTCGAATGTTATAATGTACCATCCATAGCATATGGCGTAGATTGCTTATTTTCATATCAGCATAATAATTGTCCACCTGATGGTTTAATAGTTAGTATAGGATACCATACAACTCAAATAATACCAATATTGGATGGCAAAGCGGATCCAGTCAATTCTAGAAGAATTAATATCGGTGGTTATCACATTACATCTTATATGCATAGATTACTACAACTTAAATATCCTGTACATGTGAATGCGATAACTCCAAGTCGTGCAGAAGTATGATTTTTTTTTTTTTTATCATCTTAATATCACGTTTTGATCAAGTGGTATAACATACATTTCATAAATTGTAGGAATTGATACATGAACATTCAATGATCGCATTGAATTATCAAGAAGTAGTATCCAAGTGGGCAGATCCAGATTATTATGATGCAAATGTATTAAGAGTTCAATTACCTTATGTTGCACCTGCAAGTACTCCTGGTTTAACAATCGAACAACAAAAAGAAAGGAAAAGAGAACTCGCTCGAAGATTGATGGAAATTAATGCAAGGAAGAGGGAAGAAAGGGTAAAAGAAATTATTATTATTATTATTATTATTATTATTATTGTATGATTTTTTAGGTTTACTTATCTATGATTAAACATAGCATGAATTTGAAGTATTTATTTTAATAGTTGGCTGAAGATGAGGAACAATTAAATCAATTATTAGCCATACAAGATCTTTTGGAAGAAGGTGAAACGGATGAATTTGATCAAGCATTAAAAACTTATTCTTTGGCAAATGAGGCTGATCTAATAAAAATGATAAATAATTTGCAAGCGAAAGTAGAACGAACTAGACAAAAAATTGTTGCTGCAAATTCGCAAGAGGAGAACATTGTTATGGAAGATCAAAAACCAAAAATTAAATCAAGCCTTCAACCGAAAGATCAGCAGGACTTTGAAGAATGGATAGCTGGTGTCAGAAAAAGACGGTAAATGAATTGTGCGAAAGTCTATGAAAAATATGATAGATGAGAAGAAACAAAAAAAAAAAAGAAAAATTATGTTCTTTATTTTAGACAAGAAATATTAGATAAACGTATGGCGAAAAGACAACGTAGACAAGATATGGCCAAACGTAGAACAGCAGCGGCTCAGGAAAGAATGCGTATAATTAGTCAGCTAGCGAGGAAAGATAAACGAGACGATGATTTTGGTATGAGAGATGAAGACTGGGATGTATATAAAGTTATTAATAGAGTTAGTAAAGTTTCGTAATTATTTTATAAAACAAATACATGTATGAATAGTTAAAAATAATAGAATCTATTATAGGAAGGTGGAGATTCTGATTCAGAATTGGAGCAAGAAAAATTAATGGAACTTGAGGATGTTCTACGTCATCACGATCCAGAGTTTGATGGAGCTGGCTCTAGCGTTCCCATGATTCCTGGTGAAACCCATCAATTGCATGTAGGAGTAGAACGTTTAAGAGCAGCGGAATTACTTTTTCAACCTTCAATGATTGGATCAGTTGAAGCTGGCATAGCAGAGACTATTGAATTCGTTTTAAAACTTTATTCTCCTGAGCAACAAAAACGATTAGTAAGCAATGTTTTTCTCACCGGTGGACCAACAGCTTTACCAGGATTACTTGAAAGACTGAAACGTGAACTTAAAGAAATAAGACCATTTGGTTCTAACTTTCAAATAAACGTAGCGAAAAATACTAGTCTAGATTCGTGGTATGGTGCAAGAGATTTTGGTTTGAGTGGTAATCTACCAGAATACCTTGTAACCCGTAAAGAGTATGAGGAGAAAGGTGGTGAGTACTTGAAAGAGCACACTGCAAGTAATATGTATACTCGATCACCAGATCCCTTACCCATATTACAAGTTCCTGTGACATGCGAACAAGTAATCGTTGAAGATGCAATAATAGACGTTGAAATTGAATAAATAAAATTTAATTAATGAAAATTGATGATCAATTTACTAATACTTAATATCTACAAATTTAATAAAAAGGAATAGAATAAAAAATGATAAGTTTTTAATGGTTACTACTTTATTACACAAGTGTTTTTGTTCGTTCATTTTATTACGAACAAACTACATTGTAGTCTGTTTACTAATTATAATATACATTTCTTTTACATCGCACTTTAGCAGTCAGAGACAAATATTTGGATACATTTTTCGTTCTTTACTCTCTGAAAACAGTCGATATCTGTGCATAGATACTTTTTGGATGGCCTAAAAAATGTGAAAATGATCCCTCACCTTAGCAGCAGTTCAATTGATTACAGCGACCTC